TGTAAATCTCTCGACTTGCATTGAGGCCAGGGAAAGGGGCGGAATACTTACTCAATTCTGGATGGACGCGGCAAACTGCGCGGCGAAAATCGTAGTAATTCAAACGACTCCGGCGCCTATCATTGGGGTCCCATTTCAAAGTAGGGGTGTATAAGTAGCATCAGCTAGCCCTACTTGTCCAATTTACTTAAAGCCTGTGCTCCAATGATAGGCGCCAGAGTCGTTTAAATCACTACGAATTTTGGCGCAAGACTTGCCGCGTCCATCCAGAATTGGGTGAATGTACTCTTACCCGCCTGAGAAGGCGACGATCACGTCGAAACATTAGTATGCTGAGTAATAGCCAGTATCATGTAAAAAGCTCACATGACAGGCGAACATTGCTAACTTGATGTTTATAGATTTTTACTGACCCACTAGCGAACTCGCGAAATCAGCAGTGCGTCTAGCTGACTGCCGCACGCTTTTCTATAGATCTTTGACGAAGGCCTGCCGGCAAGCGATATCATCCTGCTCGAACACATCTTCGTAATGATTTATTCTATTCATACAATCTAAAAAATTTTCTTGTAGGTAATCGTAGATCCAACTTGTCCTCATGGTCTTTGCATGGATGAGAACTTGGACGAGCTGTTCTCGGACTCTGAAACTAAATTCGAAGATGCCGATCACGAGTCACAGGCAGGCGTTCTAGTTCTTGATAGTGCAGACAGCTTTGACTCTGATCCTTATTGGAGCAGAAAAGCGAGAAATTTAAAGGTTCCGTAGGAAATAAAGAGGGATCCTACGGAACAGCTTTAGTCAGACACTGTGGTATTGGTGTTCCCCTACTCCAGTGAAAACAAAGTAGGAGTGTTGTGAAGATGTACCGAATGCTGCAATGGAGTTAGAGTAATCAGATGGATGGATATGCCATGATTATCAAGAAATATAGTATCACGTTATCTCACGCCAGGGTGATCGGCTTGCCGGTAGTCCACACGATCGCCAAATCATTAATACGATGCTGGACGTTTCTATACGAAACGCATCTGGCTCGATCATATTAGATTGTAAGGAAAGTTTTTGTCGTTTTGGCAGCTAATCTTTGAAATAGTCATAACTCATCTCAAAGTACATTTTTATTCAGAGTGAGTCCCAGCCTATACCTTCACCAACGTGCACGAGTTTCTTTATTCCAATCCTATAAAGACCACCTAACTAAGACCATTATCTTCTTTACGTACAAAATTAGCATGGGAAATGTTTCTGGAGTCTCATCTACATCAACCAGCGAGCAGAAAGTTTCTTGTCACACACGATCCATTTTCATCACACATTACAATACGATGAAGGAATATCTCTTATTCTCAGCGAGGAACTCGAAAACTTTAGACGCCTCGACTGCTGCTCCATTAATGGTGTGACACCCACTTGTCAAGTTTCCTTACCATCCCAACTGCTCGAGGTGGTTAACGACGACTGTATGTGAAACGCTCATATGTTTGGTAATCTCTATCAAAGGTTGGCGTCGATCTTCTTCGACTGCTCTTGGCGAACAATCGTGATCAACTAACGATGGTCGACGAGCTCTCT